TGTAAACCGCTTAGAGAGGGCTGAAAGCCCTATGAAGCGGTATATAAGTCTAACTGCTATTGCTATTGCTATTGAAGTGGTACAGGGTGTCCTTGCCTAAGCGGAGGGTTGGACTAGAAGACCTCCGCAGTCCCTTCTAACTCTGTTCTCCTGAAATCTAAATCTAAATAAACCTCCGCATTGCAAAACATATTCTGTCATTGTGACTTTACGGGAGGACGACCACAACCTACTCTTCCACTCCTGGACAGAACCCCCCCTCCCCCAAACCAACCCTCACACAAACCCACCCCCAAACCCACCGAGAGACACAATCACAACCCAACACACTCGTTTCTCACCTGACACTTCCACATAACCTTCCTTGGTCTTGACTGAGAGCTCTTCGGGTTTAAAACTCTGCACGTTGACGCAGACTTTCCAGGGTTCGCCCGTGAAGGTCGGCGGGCTGGATGATCCAAAGGGACTCCCTTCTGGGTGAGCCCCAAAACGTGAGCCGTACCCCGGAGGGGAGAATCCACTGCTCCGGACCACCCCTGATCTCAAAGGGTTTGACCAGCCTGCGGTGAGGGGCGAGCGGGCCCAATCTGGCCAGTTGGCAGTCAGATCCCCGGGGAAAGGTGACATGTTAAAGTCATCATCCAGGAGACGAGAGGACAGGCTTGGTTCCCTGAAGGGATCTCTGATATTCCGATGCCGGCCAGGGTAACACGAGAAAGGAATCTGGTTGTCAGCCATCCTGGGTAGAGAGATTCAGCAGGAGGAAACTGAAAACAGAGTCAAAAAGAAAAAAAGAAAGAGAGAGAAAGTTTTCCAACAGGTGCAAAAAGGGGAAGAAAAAAAAACCTGAATTCCGCAGTCTTGTCCTGAGGCCGACTTGTCTCACGGAAATAAATCTGTTGGCCTTCTTCTTTCCCAATAAAAATTAAAAAATGAACTAAACAAACAACAGCCGCCTTGAATTTCTTTCAGAAGCTTTTGGATAAGTCCAAACTCAGAATGAGACAAAACTGAAGTTCAGTTTTGGTGGCGGTTAAAAAAAAAATGCCACTTGGGTGAGAAAGGAACCGTCTTCAAGGAAAATAAAAAATCCAATTGTCTTTTTTTGGGAGGAAAACAAAACAGCTTTGGGATTCGAGAATCAACCCCTTCCCCAAAGGAGAAAAAAAAAAGGAAAAAGCAAAGCACCAGGCTTCCCTTTTGCTCCGGATTAAAAATCACCCCTGTGCCACTCCGTGCCACACAGAAGCTTAAATAAACCGGCTTGGACCAGCCGAGAAACTTCGCTAAACTTCCAAACTCTGCCCCCTATTTATAGGCAAGGCTCCAGCCCTGGGGGTGGGTGGGTGTGGATTGGAAGAAGTGGGGGGGGGGGAGGAGGGTGATACAACCCGCCCCACCAGTTGTATTTTTGGAGAGCTTGAAGCAAGCTGACCTCATCCCCAGAGGGACCGGTTGCTTTGCTAAATGGAATTCCAAGTTTAGACTAGCTAGCCTCTCCTTTTTCATCCCTCCCTCTTTCCCTCCTTCCCTCCCTCCCTCCTTTTTTTGGCAGTGTGAGTTTAGTAAGCTGCCTATTATTAGCTTGGAGTGCCTGGCCTGTCTCTATGCTGGATTTTTCTAACCAAAACTTGGACTTTGCTTTGAGAGCCAACCCCCCCCCCCCACCAAAAACCCAACAACAACACCCCAAATTCACCCCAAATGAATTGAAATATCTTAATCATGGTAACAGTAGGTATTTAATTAAGGTGTGAATGAACCAGACTAATACTTTTAAGTGTGTAAATGAATCATGTTCAAGGCTTATTACATTTTATAAAAACACCCGAATTTGAAAATATATACGGTACTTAACAGAAAGCAGATGGAAAGGGAATGATAAATTTGTTTTTTAATTTCTAAAGGGAAGGAAAAAAAAGATGCCGTTTATGTATATATATATATATATATATATATATATATATATATATA